ACCACACGGTCTTCTTCTGAAAGAATGGCCTGGTCTACTTGCCAGCCATTGTGTAAGTGAGGAAGCATATACGACATTTTTAAAACTTGATGTAAGGCCTGCAAAAGAACAGAAACCATCTAAGAATTGACAATTCTTGAAATCTACTTAACATTAATCAAGAAAGCCAACCCAATAAAGCTAACACCCATCTGTTAGCTTTTATTTAAGATGATGCACGTGTCCAGACCTCACTGGTTTCCTTTAAAAACACATACACACCACCAAAAGTATTGTTGATAGTGAACTAATTTGGATAAAGACTATTTATTTTTCTTAATGCTGTGTACAGACTGTGCTTTTTCTTAGGATTTCCCACCGTTGCAACTTCACCAACAGTAGTTCTAGCATAGACCGACAGCAAGCATTTTGACTATTGTGTCACCTAGTCCTAGCCTGTATCAGAACAGCACTAAATGACATGGTGGTTACACTGTGACCTCTCTACAACAGTGTTCTCACTGGCACTGAAGTACAGGTAGGAAATTTTAGTATGGAGTAGGGCCAAGCTTCACATAGCAACCATCGTCCAGTCCAGCAAGAGGGGTCTCCAGCAAGATTCTCATCCAGGAATAGGAAGAATGGAGAGAAACCTCTTCAGCCTTCACAATCTCCAGTCCTTTATTTTCAGTCTTTTACCAACAGGCCCAGCCATATTACAACTGGCAGGTCAGATGTGCCACGTTCAGAGGCTTGACAGATTTGCTCTCAAACTTACCATTTTTAAAGGAACTATTACTACCAGGGCGCTGGAGCGATTACTATAGTGGGGGTGCTCAAAGCCATTGAATCAAACTGTAAACCCTGCACATAAGGGAAACCACTGAAAGCCGGGGGGGGGGGACGACGACGCGGGGATGCAGTCGCACCCTAGCTCCATCAGCTATGATCATTACAAACCCCTCCACGGTGGGGGTGGTGCAGCGTGGGGGCTGCCCCCACTAAGGGTAAACCCGGTGTGCTAATGGGGGCAATGACATGGAGCCAATGACGTAGGGCCACTGAAATCCCAAACCAGCTTTGACACCCCCTCCCACAGTGCCCCACCACCCTCTCCCACAGTGGCCCCCTCAGCCCCGCGCATCACCGCCCCAAAGGGCCCTTCCATAATGCCCCACCCTACACCCCACTGAAGCTGCCCTCCCGCGCCCCTGGCCGCGGCGGCACGGGCTGGCTCCCGCTAGGAGACGCCCCTTCCAGAACATTCCACACGGAGCCCGCCCAGCGGGCCCCCCGAGACACCAACCTCCCACGGCCGCACTCGCAGATAAACCGCCGGCGCCGCTGCCTACACCACGCTCCACAACGGCCCCCGACCGCGCCGCGAGCCCTGAGGGGGACCAGAAGGGGGCGCGCGCCCACGCCCAAAACTCTACGGGCTCGCTGAAAGGGGGTCGGAAGTGACGCACTGCGTATTCCGAGCAGAACACGTCCACGACAGGAAGCAGTAGTCTCGCCATCTTGCTTGTAGGCTTCCCTTCAATAGGCGGATTGTTACCATCTGACCCCTGTGAGGGGAAAAGGAGAGCTGGAGCATACCAACTCCCTAAAGCGGCAGGGGGTAATAGGCTGTACCAATTCACCCCAAAAGGGGGACGTGGGAAACATTTTGTACTCCTTTTCTTTTTGCGAATACAGACTAACATGGCTGCTACTCTGAAACCTGTCGTTGATGTATTACCAACCCCCACAAAGGGGAGGCAAGATTTCAAAAGCCCCACTGGTTGCTCTGAGCCTGGAGATTGCTATGCCAGGCAGGGAAGGGCCCAGCCTTGGGAGTGGTGCCAGGGTTACGCGTGCCAGGGATGTCAAGCCTCACACTTCAGGACAGGAGCCAATGCTGGCTGCCACCAGGCTCCGGACAAGGCGCCTCCAGGGCCAGGCGATGCCATTAGTGTCACACCCACTTTGGGGTGCCCTACACCTTCCTCTGAAGCAGCTGGTGCTGGGTGAAGCTAGAGACGGGCTCCTGGCCAAGCCGGGCCTCGGGCTTGAGAGTACCGCACCGTGCACGTCCTCACTTCCTGTGAGGCTTTCTCCCGCTTTGATATGGCAGCCAACCCATCATGCTGCGGTCAAGCCTTAAGGGGTAGAAAATTCACAGTGACAGGAGATTGTTGCCAAGTGGGGCCTGTCCTGATCTACCAAGCTCACCCTCCCACGGAACAGTTCTGCTGAGCCAGACTTTTGCAGATGAGATGATGTACTAGAAAAAACACTTACCAAGTCCCTGCCACAGCCAGGTTTAGAGACATCGAAAACTCTCTGTGCTCTTAGCAGGCAGTTTTGGTCAAGGACACTAGTCTGAGGGTACTCTACCCATGACAAGAATTTAATTACCACACTTCCTATGTCGATTCTCAAATTATGTGCTTTCACATAAATAAAGCTAGAAGCCATATGAGATAGTACCATGGTTAGAGTAAGAGCCAAAAATAATGAAACAGTCACCATCGGCATGGTGCAATAAGCAGAAGAATAACTGGGTGAATCGAAAACCAGTACAGGCATTATATCAATTATATATTATGTCACTTTGGATGGGCTATCACCAGCAGGAGAGTGAATTTGTGTGGGGGGGTGGAGGGTGAGAAAACCTGGATTTGTGCTGGAAATGGCCCAACCTGATGATCACTTTAGATAAGCTATTACCAGCAGGACAGTGGGGTGGGAGGAGGTATTGTTTCATATTCTCTGTGCATATATAAAGTCTGCTGCAGTTTCCACGGTATGCATCCGATGAAGTGAGCTGTAGCTCACGAAAGCTCATGCTCAAATAAATTGGTTAGTCTCTAAGGTGCCACAAGTACTCCTTTTTGCGAATACAGACTAACACGGCTGTTACTCTGAAACCTGTCATTATATCAACGAGTATGGTCAGGAATCCTGTGGATTAGTAGGACAGTCTTTACATTACCAAAATTCCCAAATTAATGTTAGCTGAACACAACCAGTCAAATCCAGACTTACAATTGGACACAGTAGGATGCAAAGAGCACACCCACGCTCCCTTTCCTCCCGTTCTAGTCTCATGTTGAACCAAGTCCTTCACCAGAGAAAGCTGCACCAGTAGAGAACCATCTGAATTATCTTGCTGGTTCCTTTAATAACAAGCAAAAAAGACAGGTTTAAATCACAGATGACTGTTGGTCATTGACCTTGCATTGAAAACCACGAGCCCCAGGATAAAGTTATTATTAGCTGTTGCCCTAGTCTACAAAAAGTTATAAAACCCTTTGTGAAAATCATGGGGCACATACAGATTTCAACCAGCTGGATTGCAAGTGAATATCAGTCTCCTCCCTTGTCTCCCAGTGCTCATCGCAACAGCAATCAAGAAGCCAATAAACCCAGAACAAATATGTCCACAAAACTTCCTAATGCCCAGCTCCTGACAGAGTTGCTCCACTTTCTTGGACATCATCAAGGCTTAGTGTACTTGTCAGCAAACAACATAAATTCTGCTCTAAAACCCAGTGGTTTCTGCTTCATTCTAGTCCTGAATTCTGCATGAGCTCTAAGTAAATTAAAACAGTGAGGATTTTACTGAATGAAATGTGAAAATGTTAATGAATGGCAATGAATAATACAACCAGTCTACTATTGTGTGTATTATATATTTTAATAGTAAATTCAATTTATTTTATGCTACTCCAAAATATTCAGTTTTAATTTTAACAGCAGACATTAAGGTGACTTGAAGTTTAGGAGTGGAGGGGGTTTAAACTCCTAGTTTCTCATGTTAGCTGTAACAAGCTACCTCGCTGCCTGATGCCCCAATATCTGCGATTGCACAAAGGATAGATAAACACCCTGGGTAGATATTTTTCTTAAAATAATCAGCAATTAAATTATTAGCCGTGTTGACATATTAATTGGCATCACTAGGCTTCAGAATTAACACAATCATTGATATAGGACAGTCCACATCTGTCTTGGAGTTATTATTTCATTTTGTCTCTCTGCACACTCACACAGATATCACTACATTAGTTTACATACTCAGAAGGTTATCTTTGCAACCATTAGGGCTAGAAGCAATTTTTTAAAAAGAAATAAAACTTAGATTTTGGAGCACAGTTCTACAATAGTGGACGGATTCTGGATCAGATTCCATTGCCACAAGAATGTGTGTAGCTGCGCACAGAGAACTAAAAAGAAAAGGAGTACTTGTGGCACCTTAGAGACTAACCAATTTATTTGAGCATGAGCTTTCGTGAGCTACGGCTCACTTCATCAGATGTATACCGTGGAAACTGCAGCAGACTTTATATACACACAGAGAATATGCTGCAGTTTCCACGGTATACATCTGATGAAGTGAGCTGTAGCTCACGAAAGCCCATGCTCAAATAAATTGGTTAGTCTCTAAGGTGCCACAAGTACTCCTTTTCTTTTTGCGAATACAGACTAACACGGCTGTTCCTCTGAAACAGAGAACTAAAAACATTCTAACAATATCTGCTATTCCGCGCCCCATAGAATTCAGTTTCAGAAGCAGGGAGGAGGGAAGATGACATTGTTTAGGAAGGCTGCACAGAAAGCCAAAGAGGATGAAGTAGAGACTGGCAGATAGTGTCACTCTATGTGGCAGTTCCTGCTGAAGTGTCCAGAGACTCTCTGATAGAAGGTGGACCTGGCAGAGATTGCTGGCAGTGCTCACAGTCATGTGAATGTACTCAGCCGCAGCCAACTGAAATTTGCACAGGAAGAATATATACTCTAACGCATTAGCTATGTGGGGTTGGATTCAGGCAGAGTAAGGACAGCTATGGGACCTTGGATTAAGGATTAGATCATATGATTGTGTGTCCCTCTGTGTGCTGCAGAGATCTGGAAGTAGTTGTATAAGGAGATTTTGTGTTTAAGCTATTGCCACTGCCAGAAGTGGTAAAACAGAGCTACACCAAGATCAGCGTCAGGAAGAAAGCAATAGAAAGTACCAGGTTATTTCTTATTTATATAATCAGTTTTCGTTTAAAGAATGTCAGTGAAAGAGATTTGTTCTGTTTACTTACATCAGCAGAAAGCAGAGCCGTTAGGAATTCTGCAGGTTTACTTCACTGAATACAAAAACTTCTGTTATACTGTGAGCCTGTTAAAGCTCCAGATGCAGTATTGCTAACCCTATTCATTCAAAAATTGTGAGTCAGGCCCCCACCAAAAAAATCATAAGCTTATCTTTAAAAAAATGAAATTTTAAAAAATAATGTTTTGATTATTTTGATTTGCACTGTGCTTCAGCTTTTATGGGTCATGTTTTGAAGCTTTTCTTTGTAGCTGTGAGGGCTAGAAACACTTTCATTTTTCACATAATCAATTGATTTGAGTAGTTGGGGCTTTAAGAAAAATACCAAATATTGCAAGGCTTGTGATAAAATCCTGAGGGTTGGCGACACAGCAGATGATACTAGTTCAAAATTAAAATAGCCATATCCTTGACAAGTTTACCTTTAACACGCTGGGGTGGACAACTGAAAGATTATGTTTAGCGTTAAAGCATTCTCTTTGGTAGAAGCTATTCGGTTGGCCACTAGCTGCTCAAGGTTGGCTGGTAGACTTATTCATCCAGCCGTTTGTCACGTGCATCACTGGACAAAAAGGAGTATGGATTCCAGGTGGAGCTACAGGACTGGCCCAAACAGCACTGGCAGAGCTGGAATAAGTGCTCCCCAAACCAAGGTTAGTATCGGGGGAGCCTTCTGCTCTGCACAAACGACCCCTAAATATTTTTAATTTATTGACTTTAATATTATTTAAGTGCTCAATGGGCTAACAAAACAGAGAGAGACAGTCCTTGCTCCAGGGTTATAGTCAGGCAACAGTTTAGATATATAATACCTCAGATGATGGCTGATATTCTATACTATTGCTCAGAGTATTTATTTGATGTTTTAAAACCTTTTCTTTTGTTGGTATTTAGCATATATTTCAGTGTCTCATCCATCTGTCTGTCACAAACAGAAAGAAAAAAAGTTGTTCAGTATCTCAGTAAATCTCTCTCCATTCTGCCACTAGTTTACCTCAAAATATTCTCAAGTAGCCCCATGATAAGTGACTTTGATCCAGCAAATAATTTATGCACCTGCTTAACTTTAGGTACTTTGAGTTGCCCCATTCAGTATTTCTCCAATTCTTGCGTAGCTCTTTATACACCAATGCGAAGTGTTTGTAAAGCACTGTCAAATCAGAAAGGGGAAGCATTTTGCACATACTTTGCTCTTGTGTCAATGACTCCCCAAAGTGCAGGGGAACAGTGAACTGGACCATTGTGGGTATATGCCTACACTGCAATCAGGAGGTGCGATTGCAACACATGTGGGCATACCTGAGCTAGCTTTGATCAAGCTAGCTTGCTAAAAATAGTAGTGTAGGCACAGGCAGCAGAATGGGAACATAGGTACATACTCCTGAGACCATAAGTATGTACTTGGGCAGCCAACTTATTACATGCCTAGATTCTGGATAATCCTTGCATGGATGTGCAAGAGGGGAAATCCACAAGGAATGTCCCCTTGCCTCCCTCCTGTGCTTCTGGCATGGACTGGTCAGAATCCTGTTGAGGATTACAGGCTCTGATTCTTTTTAGCATACTTCTCAATCTGCCAGGATCCAAATCAAGATGTAATGTGCGATAAAGACCTGAAATGAGGAACAGACACAGATTGTCACACAGACAACTTTAAATGACTTTTTAAAATAATCTCTCTTCCTGATCTTTTATTACTGAGATAAATAATTTTCAAGAATAAAAGTGAGGGGCTGCCAAATTGTGTGGAATGGAAGTAACTTTGGGACTAAAATGAAGTGATGTCTCTGGAAATGAGGGACAATTTAGAGTTATACCTCTTAGCACCCCTATAGACACTAGGCCGGATGGCCTAATCTGTCATGGCCTAATCCTGTACTCATTGAAGTCACTGGAATGATTCCCATTGACTTCACTGGTAGCTGGATCAGGCCCTAACGCCAGTGTAAACCCAGAGTAACTCCACTGACTTCAAGTTAGTAACTCTGGATTTACATTGTGTAATTGAGGGAAGTCTGTAGCTCCATTAAGTACAGATTTACAAATGTGGATTTTAATTATCCCTACTGTCGTGGGGTAGATACACCCTGTCACAGGGTGTCGGATTTCAGGGGGTTATCCAAATGGATATTTGACAGCCCAAGTGGCCTGGGTCTATGTTGCAGCTCTACAGCTCAGAGTAGTATTGCCCAATTGCCAGAATCAGTAAGGCTGTCTTTCTGTGGCAAAGTTCACCCCTCTGGGCGTCGGCTGCCCCCGATGGCAGGACAGCCAGGGTAGGGGGACCCAGGACCACCCTTCTCCACTGGGTCCTGACCCAGGGCCTTAGGGAACCGGCACTTCTATAATCAGTCTTGGTCACCCATTAATACAGTCCTGTTCCCTGTGCCACTTCCTACCAATGCTCGTAGCCTCACGGCCTCTGCCATCTCTCCGCTGCATTGGTGGGAGGGTTGTTGGAGTCTCAACCTGACTGGTTTCTATATCCTCGAGCTCTGAGAGCCTCCCAGCTGGAGCCTGCAACACATGTCTGCTCTTGTCAGTGGCCAGCCCAGACTCAGCTGAACTACTCCCTTTTATACTTTGGTTCTTGTTAGAGCATGCCCAGCAGAGGTGAGGGGGTGTGGCTTTCTCAGCCCACAGCTGGTGGGTAACCCCTGCTGGACCGGTTTGGGGTAGGTATACCCCATCATACCTACTGAATGGTATTTTTACAAAAATGTTATTTTCTCATATTCAAGGGCATATTTCTCTTAATCCTTTTCGCAGGTTATGGCAAAGCAAGAGCGGCCTGGTCTTTTGATCCTCGAAATAGGAGGTGTATGTGGTGTGCTGGAAGGCCATGTGGAACTCTTGAAGAAACAATTTCACCTCATCACTATGAAGGAATTTCTTAAAAACAAAGAAAGTTTGAGTGAAAAGATCAAATCTGTTTTCATATATGAGTGCAGACCAGTCATTGACCAGGAGCTCCTCCAGAGCCTACCTCACTTAAAGGTGATTGCAAACTCTGGGGTAGGAGTGGATCACCTGGACTTGAAATTGGTTTCTAGCTTTGGAGTTAAAGTGACCAATACTCCACATGCTGTTTCTGACTCCACAGCAGACATTGGGATGGCCTTGATGCTGGCATCTGCCAGAAGGCTAGTGGAAGGTAACTTTTTAAATTCCTTTGCTGATATTTCCATAAATCACATCAGCTACATTTCTGGCATATTTTATTTTTATTCTGTCACAGATTATCTGGTTGAAATAATGTTTAAGAATCTTTACAGGAAGAAAAGCTGCAAAGATTCAGTTTTTCAAGTGGTCCTTCTTTTTCTATATTGTTTTTGACATTCTGAGCCCAATCCAGCTTCTACTGAAGGCAGTGGCAACAGAATTAAGGCCTCTATCTAAGTTAGGTGCTTAAAACTGCCTTTGATTTGATTTATATACTGTACAAGGCCTACTGTTTGGACCAGAATTTGCACTCTAACTCTCCACTGCCTGCACTTTATGTGGTTATTTACAACTATCCAAAGTGAATGCAAAATGCAAGCAAATGAAAATTCTTCACTCATTAGTACCCCCTTTGCATCAATGTAAAAGACTACACAAGTGTGTAAGGCAGTGGATATCAGGCCTTGGGTCTCCATCACCAGAGAAAGTGATTTGCTATGAAATCCACTGAATAACTTTGCTTTGCACTCCTCCTACAGCAAAGAACTCAAATTAATAAACCCTGTTCCCAGAATAACATTAGAATTGCTGATGATACTAACTGTGTTGCCTGTGTTAGCTTGTGCTCTCTCTAAGGGGCAACTTGTTTCGGCACAGTGCATAGCGGAAGCAACAAGCTGTGTCCTAGTGGAGGGGAGAGTGTCTGTGGAGGCTAAGAGGAAGGAATCCCACAGAAACACAGCAGTTCTCCCATGCCCTGGGCACTGTGCAACACTTCCCTCATCCCACCTTTGCCGCGAGTCCCCATCGCAACAGTTTGCAGAGAGCCCCTGTTGAGCTGGCCTCTGCAATGCAGCCGATTCTGTCCTGTTACCTAATCTCCAAATCTGTTTCCAAATCTCACACCACCCATCCTGTAAAAAAATTCCACTACTTCACCTATGTATTGGTACCTCCCTGAGGAGAATAGTGGGATACACCCTGATAGAAAATCAAGGTTTGTCTAATGGAAAATGTCTGAACTGGCAGGGAAAGAGAAGTTATTTTCAAGCTTCAAAGAGGATATTACAAACAGGGAAGAATTCATCCAACAAGAATCCATTTCTCACTCAGCTTTTTTTATTTTTAGGTTGTCAGATTGCAGTTTCTCCACAGACTGAGCGTTTTGCTGCCGACTGGCTGGCAGATGAAGTCACTGGGGCTACTCTCGGTATCATCGGCATGGGCAGCATTGGGTATAAGGTGGCCAAGAGGGCCAAAGCTTTTGAAATGAAAATTCTGTACCACAACAGGAACCAGAGGTGAAAGTGCATCTGATGTGAACTAGAGCAGATTATATTTTTGATTCTTTTAAAAGTTATACATCTTTTTGTTGCAAAACCTGCCCAAAGAACCTCTTCCCCAGTTTATGCCAAATCCTCCTTCCCTCATTCCAGTGAGAATTCCCTTCATTGTCAGCGGTCAGAATTTTCAAATTTGTCTGCCACAAGTTAGGTGCCTAAATCCATATTTAGATACTTAAATGAGCACTCTGATTTTCAAACGTCCTGAGCAACCACACTTCCCGTTGATTTCAGAGGGAGCTGTGAGTAGTCAGCACTTTTGAAAATCAGGTCACTTATTTATTTACATGCTTACATATGAATTTAGGTGCCTAACTTTTGGCAGCCAAGTTTGAAAATTTTGGCCAAGAACAATGGAACAGGTTAGTATCATATATTCAGCATGATTTTTAAGCACTATTTAAAAGTCTATATCAGGAGAAAAAGGGTCAGCAATACATAGCTCCTTTACAAAGTGGGTTCCCCTCACCTCCACCCTGCCCATTCTGGTGGGGGTTGCAGCAATTTTGTTAAAAGAAATGCAAACTTGCAAACTACCTTGCTGTTTTTATGAATAAATAAACTCCTTTTACTGTTACTCCCATGTTGCAGCAGCAGAAAGTGGATTTAATTAGCAAAATGCATGTTAGAACCAGGAAATGTAATATAAAAGGTGACATTGAAATTACAGGGCCTTCTTTGTGCTACAGCAATCTTCAACTCCAGAGGCTAATGTTCCTGTCTGCAGTGACCTCTCAAATTGTCTTCGTTCAGTGTCTCTTTTATCACCTGTAATGAATCCTAGACCAGAAAAAGACCTCACGGTTGAACTGAACACAGGCAGCACCAGAAAGAACTGAAGAGCGCTCCCATTTCAGCTAAAGGAGAATCTTCACTGTAGAGTTTAAATCTTCTTACCAGCCACTAGAATCATAGAAACATAGGGCTTGAAGGGACCTCAAGGGGTCATCTAGTATTCTACTCCAGCCCCCTGCACTAAAGCAGGATCAAGTATACGTAGAGGGTGATAATCTTGTCTTTTTGAGAAGTTCTGACTTTCCTTTTAGAGAAGGCCGTGGCACATACACATGCTAGTCAGTATATATTGCATATCACTTTTATATTTTATACCTTGCAGCTATTTCCAATATGTGGGCCAAATCCTGAAATCCTTACTCTCCGTGTACTTACACAGGCAAAATTCCCATTAACAAGGACCAAGTACAAACTGAATAAGGAGCTCAGTTTTTTGCCTTATAGCGGGGTAATAAGAGAGAAAATGATTGATGGTGATAGCATAGTTCAAATAATTCTTGATGTTAAAATATATACATTAAAAGCATGTTTATTTGTGTGTCACGTAATTGAGTTTTGAGCACACTTTAACGTGGTAAATTCTTATAGCACCACTGAACAGTTCTAATCGTTTCAAGAAATGGCTCCTCTGCTATCCTCTCACATTGCATTATACACTCTCCCTTAAGAAGAACAGGAGTACTTGTTGCACCTTAGAGAGTAACAAACTTATTAGAGCACAAGCTTTCGCTACAGCCCACTTCATCAGTTGCATAGAATGGAACATATAATAAGAAGATATATATATAGATATATACACATACATACAGAGAAGGTGGAAGTTGCCATACAAACTGTAAGAGGCTAATTAATTAAGATGAGCTATTATCAGCAGGAGAAAAAAACAACTTTTGTAGTGATAATCAAGATGGCTCATTTAGACAGTTGACAAGAAGGTGTGATGATACTTAACATCAGGAAATAGATTCAATATGTGTAATGACCCAGCCACTCCCAGTCTCTATTCAAACCCAAGTTAATGGTATCCAGTTTGCATATTAATTCAAGCTCAGCAGTTTGGAGTCTGTTTTTGAAGCTTTTGTTGCAAAATTGCCACCCTTAAATCTGTTACTGAGTGGCCAGAGAGGTTGAAGTGCTGTCCTACCGTTTTTTGAATGTTATGATTCCTGATGTCAGATTTGTGTCCATTTATTCTTTTGCACAGAGACTGTCCAGTCTGGCCAATGTACTTGGCAGAGGGGCATTGCTGGCACATGATGGCATATATCACATTGGTAGATGTGCAGGTGAACGAGCCCCTGATGGAGTGGCTTAAGAGGCCACATAAGTACTCCTGAGAACGCATTCATGAACAAAGCATATTTGCCACTAACAAACACAGAAGTGGTCACTGAGGTGCTTCTATTCCTGTTTTTTCACTGAAATTCTACTAGGAAATAAGTATAATCAATATAGGAACATGCTTAGTATTGATCTCAATGAAATGTCATTTCTTTTAGTTTCTCCCTCAGTGCCCCTTGGATTAATGTATTCACCTCTCTCACTTCCCCTCCCCACCAGAGTCCTCACTGAAGGCCAATCCAAATAGGATTGTAGGAGTCGCCCAGTTCTTTCTGTGGCACTGTTCCCCATTTTATATTTCTATAACAGCAGAGACATTGGTTCATAGCAACTATGCACTCTTTCCAGTCGTCCGTGGGGGTGGCATAGTAGCAGCAGCAGCAAGTGGTTTTCTTTTTTTACCAATAAAAGATAATTCTGGTCTTTCTGCCTCAGAAAAGAAGAGGAGGAACAGGCTGTTGGTGCCCACTACTGTGAAAAGATGGAAGACTTGCTCCAGCAATCTGACTTTGTGATGCTGGTTGTGAACCTGACACCTCAGACACACAGATTGATTGGGAAAAGGGAGTTAGAGCTGATGAAACCCACTGCTACTCTTATTAACATCTGCAGAGGTAGGGTGTTATGGAAGCACTGGTTGTGGTTTTATAGTTAAGGTAGGTTGAATGTTGTCTTTTTGTATCAAGAAGCTCTCTCAGCCAAGGTCTGTGACTTCCTCCATGCTTTGTTCAGTACACAGGATAGCTGGCACTTAACTAATAATAAATAATGAATTATAGACCAAATGCTGATTAGTGCTGAACATCCACAACTCCCATTTACCTCTTATCACAGGGTTGGCTACCTCCTGTCCTTCCTGGCCAGAGGCTACCCGCAATACCCTGCTTCTGTTTCCCGCTCTTCAGACCCCCTGAAGGACTGCACACAGGCTTCTCTCTGGGGTACCATCACCCCTGCCTGGGGTCAGTTTAATCACACAAATAGCGTATATGGGACCTCAGGGTCCCATATACAGTCCATCACCATACAAGAGTCCATACTTAGTTTTGGTGTCTTTTCTAACACCCAGAGCTCTTCTTCTGTCCCAGTCTGCTCTCACAACCCATCCTCCAGCTCTTCCTAGCTAGAGCTCAGCCTTCTGTCACTGGCCTTTAGGCCCAAACTTTTAGGCTCAAAACCCATCTGGGTTTCCTCACAAAAGTGCCCCCTCCCTCTCCCTGGCTGGCTGCTCTGGTGGGCAAACAGTGTAATTGCAGCGTCTCCCCAGCAGAATCTATTATTTTGTGGAGGGAAAAAATCTGCAGGGGACATAAATTCTGTGCTTATGTTTCTTTTGTTTAAAAGTGGGGGGCCATGGTCCCTTGGCTCCCCCAGTTCCAGTGATTCAGCTGTCCTCCATCAGGCCCCATCAAGGCTGTCAATGCAGCACAGATGGGCTACAGCATTTCTTTCAGTAATCAGGATTAGCTGGCTTCAGGCCTCCAGCCCTTAAGGGGCAAGCCATGCTGTTATGCCTCTCAACTAGGGTTGCCAATTTTGGTTGGATGTATTTCTGGAGGTTTCAGCACAAGTCATAATCTTTTATTAAAGACTAATTTTTAATTCATGGAGACTCCAGGACAATCCTGGAGGGTTGGCAACCATACTTTCCACAGGAGTTGTGGGGCTCAATGAGTGTCCAGCATCTCTCATTTTAACTCAGGGTTATTTCATCTAAGAAAAATGTACAAATATCTTCATGATGAACTGAACGCAAGGACAGCCCACTGCCCAATGAGAGTGTTATCTAGTACAGTAGAATTTCTGTACTAAATTGTGTCATTATAATTTGTATTACAGTAACATGTAGAGGCCCTAAGTGAGGCTGGGGCCCCTTTGGCACCACACAAATACATAAGACAATGACCCCTTCGCTCTCATGGCTTCTGTGCAAGAGCTACAGGGAAAGGGGACTGTGGGATGCAGAGAAGAAAACCCGGAGAGTTTAGACTGGACCAGGGAAAGGTGACTTCAGCACCTTTGGTTGGGGGAGTTGAGGTGATGTAGAGTGCGGCAGATTCCATGTGTGGAAAACTCTGATTCTCTTACGGGAGCTTAGCCCCATGAGCATGAGCTCCCTATGCAACTCTGTGGCAAAAGGGCTAATGTGATCCTAGAGACACAAACAGGGGAAGCTCCAGGAGGAGGAGAGAGGTTAGTTTACCTCGGTACTGAAGCAACTGCTGCTGGAATACTGTGTCCAGTTCTAGTATCCAAAATTCAAGAAGGTTGTTGATAAATTGAAGTGGTTTCAGAGAAGAGCCACGAGAATGATTAAAGGATTAGAAAACATGCCTTATAGCGATAGACTCAAGTAGCTCAAACTGTTTCCCTTAACAAAGAGAAGGTTAAGGAGTGGCTTGATTACAGTCTATAAATACCTACATGGGGAACTAATATTTGATAATGGGCTCTTCAAACTAGCAGAGAAAGGAATGGCTGGAAGTGAAGCTAGACAAATTCAGACTTGGAAATAAGGTGAAAAGTTTTAACAATGAGGGTAATTAACCAATGGAACAACTTACGAAGGGCTGTGGTGGAAATTTTTAAATCAAGATTGGATGTTTTTCTAAAAGATCCACTCAATTTCAAATAGGAATTAATTCAGGGAAGTGCTATGGCCCGTGTTATGTGGGAGGTCAGACCAGATGATCCCAGTGGTCCCTTCTGGCCTTCAAAGCTATATAAATCTGTAAGAGACAGTTCCTTTCCCAAAGAGATTTCAGTCTCAATAGACAACTAGGTAAAGGAGTGAAGAAGATATAGAGGCACAGAGAGGTAAAGTGACTCACCTAAGATCACAGAGCAGGTCAATGGCATAACCAGGAATAGAACCAAGTCTCCTGAATCCTATTCCAGTGCTCTGTCCACTAGACCATGCTGTCTTGCTAATAAAAAAAAAATCATTCTTTGCTTTGTTTGGTTAACCATTACTAGAAGGCGGTCTTGTTTTTATAATGAGATATAAATCCAATAGTATTTTAAATTGCATTATGAGACCTCTCCTCTCAGTTAAAGATAGGGAACTTACCTGGAGATTAGTTTTTTTCTGTACCTTATCTGGATATGCCAATAAGACACTATCATTTTAATGCAGGCGCAGTAGTTGATCATGATGCACTGGTGGATGCTCTCCAAAATGGGATTATTAAAGCTGCAGCTTTGGATGTGACATACCCTGAACCTCTGCCAAGGTAGAAAACTGTTTTCTTTCTGTTTATCAGAAATTATTTGCATTACAGATTAATACTGGAAAACATTCTTAAATTCTTCAGCATCCCTTCAAAATTCTGGGAATATATTAGACACTGTCTTCAAATCCAAATCACATTTTCCATAGGTGTTTGCATATTTTTGCAGGAGAGATGCGTTCCGGTTTACTGGGCACAAGACTAGGTGCCAGGAACTCCTGAGTTCCAATCCTGATTCTGTTCCTGATTCTCTCAGGGGCCAGAGGCCAGTTGCTTATGTCCAAATTTGTAAAGTCTGTGTGCATGTCATTTACAAATTCCTGTAAGCTTAGGGTGGCCATCCATCCCGTTTTTTAAAGGGACAGTCCCATTTTGGGGGACTTTTGCTTATATAGGCACCTATTAACTCCCACCCCCTGTCCTGTTTTTTCACAGTTGCTATCTCGTAACCCTATGTAAGCTGCTTGAGGTCAAATCTTCAGGCTGTTATGCACAAGCAACTGGCAAATTAGATCCTTATTCTTATGTATTGCAGCTCTGTAGCAGCCTGACTGACATGAAGGCCCATGCAGGAGAAGAAGTGGGCAAATTTGCTCCTTGCTGTTCTGTGCAACCCTCTGTGCATCATGATACCTCTTTCTCACATGCAAGACTTTGCCAGTTACTTCTGCCCTTTTCTGTTAGAATGAACATGGCTGTAGAAATGTAAAATTCACCTCTAATTATTCTGTCCTTTCTTTTTCTTACAGAGATCATCCATTATTAAAATTAAAGAACATTATCATAACTCCTCACATTGGAACTGCTACAGTCCAAGCCACCCGTATGATGACAGAAGAAGCAGTAGCAAATATACAAGCTGTTCTTAATGGTCTCCCCATTCCTAGTGAAGTAATCCCTCAGTGACATGTCAGAAAACATAAATACACAATGGCATATCTGTGAACGGACTTTATTCTACTGAATCATAAAGTAACTTTGCAGTGCAATGATTAATAGTGACAAGTGAAGATGTTCCTATATTGCTGTCACATTTATGGGGCCACCTAGTGGCTATTCTATATCATTACACCCCAGTCATGTGATCATTTGACTAATAATGAACTAATAAAGTCAATTGTTCAAAGGCTCTTAGACGAGCAGTTGCAGACGACTCTCTGATGTTTTCAATCTACTCTTTCACCAAATACACACTGCATACTTATCCTCATACTTGCTGCATCCTAACGTGGGGGAGAGGGGCACACGAGCTGCTCTTTATGGTCTTCAGAATAACATAAGAAAATCAGAAGTAATATTGACCTCCCTCTCCTTTTAGTGAAAAATTAGTAGAAGTCAAAGATGGTGTTAGTACCAGGTGATCTTGTAGTGTCATAGCTACGTCCCAGGAAGCCTCTTAGGAAGGAGACAGATTCGTATCTTCAAAGTCTTATTGTTTCTTCCTAATGGCCCATCAAAGCTGATGGCCTGTTGTCTGGTGTGTGTCTCCCACATACACACACACAGTTGTAATTGTTGCATAGTCAATATTCCTAACTTTAGATACAGAAATGATACATGCATACAAATTGGATAATCACATTCAGCAAATTTCAGAGTGGTAGCCGTGTTAGTCTGTATCAGCAAAAAAAAAAAACGAGGAGTACTTGTGGCACCTTAGAGACTAACAAATTGATTTGAGCATAAGCTTTTGTGGGCTAAAACCCACTTCATCGGATGCATGCAGTGGAAAATACAGTAGGAAGATATATATACACAGATAACATGAAAAAATGGGTGTTGCCATACCAACTGTAACGAGACCAATTAATTAAGGTGGGCTATTATTTGCAGAAGAAAAAAACCCTTTTGTAGTGATAATCAGGATGGCCCATTTCAAACAGTTGACAAGAAGGTGTGAGTAACAGCAGGAGGAAAAAAATTAGCATGGGGAAATAGTTTTTACTTTATGTAAAAAGAAAAGGAGTACTTGTGGCACCTTAGAGACTAACCAATTTATTTGAGCATAAGCTTTCGTGAGCTACAGCTCACTTCATCGGATGAGCTGTAGCTCACGAAAGCTTATGCTCAAATAAATTGGTTAGTCTCTAAGGTGCCACAAGTACTCCTTTTCTTTTTGCGAATACAGACTAACACGGCTGTTACTCTGAAACCTGTCACTTTACTTTATGTAATGACCCATCCACTCCCAGTCTTTATTCAAGCCTAATTTAATGGTGTCCAGTTTGCAAATTAATTCCAATTCTGCAGTTTCTTGTTGGAGTCTGTTTTTGAAGCTTTTTTTGTCTACTCCAGGACAGGCCCAACAAAGAAAGTAACAGAACACCACTAGCCGTCACCTTCAGCCCCCAAATTAAACCTCTCCAACGCATCATCAAGGATCTACAACCTATCCTGAAGGACGACCCATCACTCTCACAGATCTTGGGAGACAGTCCAGTCCTTGCTTACAGACAGCCCCCCAACCTGAAGCAAATACTCACCAGCCACCACACACCACACAACAGAACCACTAACCCAGGAACCTATCCTTGCAACAAAGCCCGTTGCCAACTGTGTCCACATATCTATTCAAGGGACACCATCATAGGACCTAATCACATCAGCCACACCATAAGAGGCTCATTCACCTGCATATCTACCAATGTGATATATGCCATCATGTGCCAACAATGCCCCTCTGCCATGTACATTAGCCAAACCGGGCAATCTCTACACAAAAGAATAAATGGACACAAATCAGACATCAAGAATTATAACATTCAAAAACCAGTCGGAGAACACTTCAACCTCCCTGGTCACTCAATTTCAGACCTACAAGTTGCAATTCTTCAACAAAAAAACTTCAAAAACAGACTCCAGCAAGAAACTGCAGAATTGGAATTAATTTGGAAACTGGACACCATTAAATTAGGCTTGAATAAAGACTGGGAGTGGATGGGCCATTACACAAAGTAAAAACTATTTCCCCATGCTATTCCCGCCCCCCACTGTTACTCACACCTTCTTGTCAACTGTTTGAAATGGGCCATCCCGATTATCACTATAAAAGGGTTTTTTTCTCCTGCTGATAATAGCCCACCTTAATTAATTGGTCTCATTACAGTTGGTAGGGCAACACCCATTTTTTCATGTTCTCTGTGTATATATATCTTCCCACTGTATTTTCTACTGCATGCATCCGATGAAGTGGGTTTTAGCCCATGAACGCTTATGCCCAAATAAATTTGTTATTCAGTAAATTACAGCCTTTCCGATGATACCTTACAAGACCCATCTTGCATAAAATATATCTCAGTTATGCCATATCCATATCATAAGCATATTTCCATAAAGAATATGGGGTGTAACATCACAAGCATGTCAGGGATGGATTGAGCATGAATTCTCTGCAGAAATTTGACTTCACTCCAAAATACTTTTGGGCCAACATAGCAGCATTGCATCTTGATATCAAGACACCAACAAGGCTGACTCCTTCATGTTGATTCTTGATCTGAAATTTCACACCATATTTTGAGAACTTTTCACTCTCAACATTGGTAAACGAAAGCAGATCCAAAAATTCAAACATTATGTTCGGTTTTTCTAGGGGGGTCTTAAATGTGAAAGTGATGGTGTTCTCATAACAGCTTCTACACAAAAAAGACTATTTTTATCTTGACAGAGCCAAGAAACAAAACTATATCCGCCACTGAAATCACATGGGTGAAGTAAATGTCTAAGGGTATGTCTACACTACGGAATAAGGTCGAATTTATAGAAGTCGGTTTTTTAGAAATCGGTTTTATATATTCGAGTGTGTGTGTCCCCACAGAAAATGCTCTAAGTGCATTAAGTGCATTAACTCGGCGGAGCGCTTCCACAGTACCGAGGCTAGAGTCGACTTCCGGAGCGTTGCACTGTGGGTAGCTATCCCACAGTTCCCGCAGTCTCCGCTGCCCATTGAAATTCTGGGTTGAGATCCCAATGCCTGATGGGGCTAAAACATTGTCGCGGGTGGTTCTGGGTACATATCGTCAGACCCCCCGTTCCCTCCCTCCCTCCGTGAAAGCAAGGGCAGACAATCATTTCGCGCCTTTTTTCCTGAGTTACCTGTGCAGACGCCATACCACGGCAAGCATGGAGCCCGCTCAGGTAACCGTCACCCTATGTCTCCTGGGTGCTGGCAGACGTGGTACGGCTTTGCTGCACAGTAGCAGCAACCCATTGCCTTCTGGCAGCAGACGGTGCAATACGATTGGTAGTCGTCCTCGTCGTGTCCGAGGTGCTTCTGGCCACGTCGGCTGGGAGCGCCTGGGCAGACATGGGCGCAGGGACTAAATTTGGAGTGACTTGACCAGGTCATTCTCTTTAGTCCTGCAGTCAGTCCTATTGAACCATCTTATGGTGAGCGGGTAGGCGATACGGACTGCTAGCAGTCGTACTGTACCATCTTCTGCCAGGCAGGCAAGAGATGAGGATTGCTAGTAGTCGTATTGTACCATCTTCTGCCAGGCAGGCAAGAGATGAGGATGGCTAGCAGTCGTACTGTACCATCTTCTGCCGAGGAGCCATGAGATGTGGATGGCATGCAGTCCTTCTGCACCGTCTGCTGCCAGCCAAAGATGTAAAAGATAGATGGAGTGGGTCAAAACAAGAAATAGACCAGATTTGTTTTGTACTCATTTGCCTCCTCCCCTGTCTAGGGGACTCATTCCTCTAGGTCACACTGCAGTCACTCACAGAGAAGGTGCAGCGAGGTAAATCTAGCCATGTATCAATCAGAGGCCAGGCTAACCTCCTTGTTCCAATAAGAACGATAACTTAGGTGCACCATTTCTTATTGGAACCCTCCGTGAAGTCCTGCCTGAAATACTCCTTGATGTAAAGACACCCCCCCCTTAGCTCCCTGAAGCCAACCCTGTAATCCGTGTCGTCAGTCGCCCCTCCCTCCGTCAGAGCAACGGCAGACAATCGTTCTGGGCCTTTTTTCTGTGCGGACGCCATACCAAGGCAAGCATGGAGGCCGCTCAGCTCACTTTGGCAATTAGGAGCACATTAAACACCACACGCATTATCCAGCAGTATATGCAGCACCAGAACCTGGCAAAGCGATACCGGGCGAGGAGGCGACGTCAGCGCGGTCACGTGAGTGATCAGGACATGGACACAGATTTCTCTGAAAGCATGGGCCCTGCCAATGCATGCATCATGGTGCTAATGGGACAGGTTCATGCTGTGGAACGCCGATTCTGGGCTCGGGAAACAAGCACAGACTGGTGGGACCGCATAGTGTTGCAGGTCTGGGACGATTCCCAGTGGCTGCGAAACTTTCGCATGCGTAAGGGCACTTTCATGGAACTTTGTGACTTGCTTTCCCCTGCCCTGAGGCGCATGAATACCAAGATGAGAGCAGCCCTCACAGTTGAGAAGCGAGTGGCGATAGCCCTGTGGAAGCTTGCAACGCCAGACAGCTACCGGTCAGTTGGGAATCAATTTGGAGTGGGCAAATCTACTGTGGGGGCTGCTGTGATGCAAGTAGCCCACGCAATCAAAGATCTGCTGATATCAAGGGTAGTGACCCTGGGAAATGTGCAGGTCATAGTGGATGGCTTTGCTGCAATGGGATTCCCTAACTGTGGTGGGGCTATAGACGGAACCCATATCCCTATCTTGGCACCGGAGCACCAAGCCGCCGAGTACATAAACCGCAAGGGGTACTTTTCGATAGTGCTGCAAGCTCTGGTGGATCACAAGGGACGTTTCACCAACATCAACGTGGGATGGCCGGGAAAGGTACATGACGCTCGCATCTTCAGGAACTCTGGTCTGTTTCAAAAGCTGCAGGAAGGGACTTTATTCCCAGACCAGAAAATAACTGTTGGGGATGTTGAAATGCCTATAGTTATCCTTGGGGACCCAGCCTACCCCTTAATGCCATGGCTCATGAAGCCGTACACAGGCAGCCTGGACAGTAGTCAGGAGCTGTTCAACTACAGGCTGAGCAAGTGCAGAATGGTGGTAGAATGTGCATTTGGACGTTTAAATTCGCGCTGGCGCAGTTTACTGACTCGCTTAGACCTCAGCGAAACCAATATTCCCACTGTTATTACTGCTTGCTGTGTGCTCCACAATATCTGTGAGAGTAAGGG